GACCTTCTTCCCTCTTCAAAGCCAGCAGTGACCATCAGAGTCTTGTTCACATGGCATCATTCTGACACTCCCTCCTCTACTTCCCTTTTCAACATTTAAGGACTCTATGATAACACTGGACCCATGCAGACCATCTCCTTATTTTAAGGTTAGCTGTTTAGCAACCTGAATTCAATCTGCAACTTTAATTCATAGGATTTGGGGATTAGGACACGGACATTTTTAAAGGCCATTATTCTACCAACCACAGAAAGTTAAAGAGCAACAGCAGCTTATATCTAATAGAATTTTCACTAGATGATGGAATTCAGACCCACACTGCACACACTCTCAGCTAATTTGAAGGGGCAGCATTTATACAGACAGCTCCAGGCTTCAGTACTGAACAGTTGTATGATCTTGGACAAGTTGTTTAATACTCCAAAGCCTGGATCTCCTCATTTGTAAACTAGCACCCACATCATGGGATTGTCCATGAGATAAAATAAGTACATCAGAGAAGGCCCCTAGCTCAGCATCTGGCATAAAGTAAATTTGCGGTAAGTGCTGTTTGCTGGTATAAAATAACCACAGTTAACATTTATTATACAGATGTAAATGAGAAATGTTATTGGTTTTCTGGGAGTACAAAGGGAAGGTATGAAGAATAAGTTACTGAATGTTTTAAGAACTTTGTAAATTTGGTAGATAAAATAAAATTCTTGAATTAAAATTATAGCAAAGGATTAAAGAATTAAAATTTTATTTGAAAATAATATCAAACTCAACAAAAAAATTATAAGAATAAGAGTACTACAAAGAACACCCACATACTCTTTGACTCAGATTCATCTATTAACACTTTTTTTCCATTTACTTTATCATTCTGTCTATCTATTTAATTTTATCTAATTTTTTTAATCTACATAACTAATTTCAGCTGGTATTTTCTAGCCTACTGGCCATATTCCAATTTTGTGAATTGGTCAAGAATGTCCTTTATAGCATCTCCCTGTCTCTTTTAGAATCCAGTCCAGGGTTGGGTACTGAACTTAGTTATTACAGATCTTTGGTATCCTTTTATCTGGATCATCTCCTCAGCCTTTCTTTGTTTTTTATGATATTAGTATATTTAGAGAATACATTCTCTTGTTTATCTGTTTTCTTTTCAATAAAATGTTCCTACTTGGAGGTGTTCTGATCTGAATACTATGATATTTACATTGAATCCTCAGGGTATCTCATCTGGACACACAATGTCCATCTGTCCATCACCAATGATGTCCGTTTTTACCAGCCGTCTAGATATTGTCAGATTTCTTCCTGATACAGTTACTATGTCTCCCTTGGGATGTATTTTCACTGGAATTACTATCCTGAGATTGGAATCTGAAAAAGGAGATAGGACATAGCTGCACAGGGTGGCATAAGCAGGACCAGGAGAAGCTGGCTGATCTGCTCTCTGTCCCTGGAACAATTACTGAGCACTTGGAACTAATGGAAAGATTCAATCTGTGGCTGAACTGCACAGTTTATTTGAATGTTTAAAATAAAGCTGTTTTGTAGGGGTTTACTTAGAAGTTTTCCCACTCTGTTTCTGCTAAATCATTTGTATATATTTGTGTTTGAACAAAAATGTGGAAATAATCTTCCTTGCTGTGTTCATGTTGTTGGCATCTACTCTATATATCCATGAACAAGAGCAGAAGTTTTGATAATTGTGGGTTTGGAATGTAGGAGATGATTATCCCTTCTCTTCATATTTCAGCCTAAGCCAACAGGAAAAGAATCAATTCAAGCCATCCCTTGCCCCACTACACTCAAAAGGAAGGGTTATTAACATAATGGGTTAGGCCTGACATTCCTTCACCATGTTGGCCATGGGAAGCTGTCTCAAGAAGCATTAGCTGAACCCTCTTTCACACCTGGCTTATGCTACAAGACTTCAAGTTTCTCATCTCTATGTAGACGACCAAGAATGGCATATCCTGCTTGTCATTTTGGCTTCTTTGCCAGTGACTGGATGTGTAAAGTAGTGGGGTAAGAGGACTCAGGGTCTGCTGAGTCATTCATTTTAGATTCAAAAGAGGAAGAAGGAAATCACACTTGGGTATCCAGTTTCTGCTCCAGCAACAGTGGCTAGAGAAGCTTTGTTAGTTATCTGTTGCTATGTAACAAATTACTCCAACACAACAAACACTTATATGTTAGGTGTGTGTTCTGGCTCGAGAAAGTTGTGAGCTGCAGTCAGGATGTTGGAGCTACAGTCATCTGAAAGCTTGAGCGAGGCCAGAAGATCAGTAAGATATCCTGTTCACATGGTTGTTGGCAAGAGGCCTCAGTTCTTCTGAATAGGCTGCTTAAGTGCCCTCACTAGTGATGCTAGAGAGAACAGACAGAAGCCATAAGGCCTTTAACACCTAGCCTTAAGAGTGACATATCAGCACTTCTACTATATTCCTTTGGTCACATCAACCAATACTGAGACAATGCAGGAAGGGACTACTTAAGGCATAAATACTGGGAGATGACAGGAGAGGGGAACCATTGGAGAATCACTACCATAAAGCCTTAAGCTGGAGAGTCAGAAATGCTTGGTTAGTGAATAAGAAAATGTTTAGTTTCCCAGTTGAGTATACAGGCATGTCTGTCTGCTTCTCTCTCTATCTCTCTATCTATCTATCATCAATCTATCTATCTATCTATCTAATCATCTATCTATTATCTATTATCTATCTATCTATCTATCATCTATCTATCTATCTATCTATCATCTATCTATCTCTATTTCTATCATCATCTCTATAGAACAGCCAAGGGAAATCTAGAGAATGGTAGAATTTGGGTTAAATTCCAAATAGTAACAAATGAAGGATAGAGAAGGTGTATGAAAACTATGATGGGGACAGTTGATCTTTACAACCCATAAGCAGATGGTCTTTTCCATCTGAGGCTGTTTGAAGCTTTACCTCAACTCAAAGCTTATACCTTTGTTTTCACTGCCGCTAGACACGGAGGAGGGCTACTAAAGGCTTTGAGCAAAGCCAGTTCATCCAGAGAACAGCATGGAATGAAGCAGAACTGTCCAAACACCTTTTGTCACTTCTTGAAGTACATATATCTTGTGTATATATGTATATATGCATATATGTATTTATATGTGTATATATATATGTATATATGTACATATATCTTATTGGTTCTTCATTAACTGGCCAAGACCTTATTTTTTCAGCTCTTCTCCAGTAGTTCAGTCTCACACTAGAGGTCTTGCTGCTTTTTACACACTCCAGATTATCCTGTTTGAAATCTCCTTTCCAATATCCCTGATCAGAGTTCTCTTAATCCTTCAAAGTCTATGGCAAATATTATCCATTTCATGCAATCCCCAGAGTGAAATGACCTCTGCATTCTTCTGGGTCATCATGATGTATTCTACTGTTTTTGGTAGCACTGGCAATGAAAATGATGAGGATAATAATAATCATAATAACACAGCAGACACAAGTGACTCAGAAGTTTTCACTGCTAGGCATTGTGCTAAGCACTTTATATGCCTTCACCTATGTATCAATGCATCAGGCATTGTAATTATCCTCATTTTTGGAATAAGTAAATTGAAATCCAAGAAGGTTAAGTAATTTGACTAGGACCACATGCTAACAAGCTATAGAACAAGGATACAAATGCTTGGGGTGAAGCCCATACTTTTTTCTTTAATACCAAAGATATTATATGATAATGATTATATTTTTGGGGAAATTTATTTACAAGGAAATTGACATATTTTAAATGTAAAACTCAATGATTTTAATAAGAATGTAAACATCATCCCAATCAAAATATCAAATATTTCTATCCCCCCAGAAAGTTACTTTATGCCTATTCTCACCAATTCCCTCCCTCACAATCAGGGTCAAGCATCTTTATGATTTCTATCACCACAGATTAGTTTTGTCTGTTTTTGATTTGCTATAAGCAAACTCATACACTATATACTATTTTCTGTCTAGTTTATTTCATTAAACATAATTTTCCTTAAGAGTCATCCATGGTGTGTGTATCAGTAGTTTATTCCTTTTTTTTTTTTTTTTTAAATCAGAGAGTTATATTCTATTATATGAATATAGGACAGATCTTTTCCATTCTCCTGTTGATAGATATGTGGGTTGTTTTGAGTCTTGGCTATTAGGACTAAAGCTGTTATGGACATTCTTGTGCAAGCCTTTTTGTGGACATATGCTGGAAATTCCAAGGTGCAAAATTTATGGATCATGGTATAGGGATATGTTTCACTTTATAAGACTGGCAAGTTGTTTTTCAAAGAAGTTGTATAACTGTATCCTCTAGCAATGGGCAAGAGTTGCTTTATATCTTTACTAATATTTGATGTTGTCATCTTTCTGATTTTCACTATTTTGGTAAGCATGTAAAGGTCCATTGGCCAACCACTGCCTGATATTGCTGTGGCCCTTTTTCTACTTAACCTATGATACAGTTACAATACAATGTATTCGATACAATTGTATCGATTGTACGATACAATGTATTTGATTGATACATATCTGCCTCTCCTATTAGATTGTAAGCATGTGCTGGGTGGGAATAGTGAAAGGAGTTCTTCTAAGGAAGAACACCACATTTTATCTGACGATAACATAAAACCTAAGTCTTAAAACTTTCCTAAATCAGAGTTATAGAAAAGGAAGAGTTTTAACACTTCTGATAATTAAATGTCAGTCCTAACAGATCAGTCATGTTTTCAGAGGCTGCACTGCGAGACCACTAATAATTGTGACACTAATGTGTTTTGGTTACACTTAGCAATCTGGGTGTTTAAGGCCCTGCAACCATTTGTTTCAGGTCAGCAGAGGTCAACAAGCCAGTAGTGAATATAAACATAATTGTGTTTCATGAGGCTAAGTTTCCACTTTGAAGAGCAAGGACAAAGCCCCATCAGTAATCTTTACTGTCTTCTAGAAGCAAGCAGTATATATTGGGGGAGATGCATGGATACTCACTGTTGTGTTTGAAGATCCTTATGGTTGCACCTGAGAGTCGGGCCCCGAGTACAAGAGATGCATGATTTAACTCATCACTTAAAATGAGACATCCCTGTTCAGAAAGCAAACACACAAAGCACAGGCCAATAAATAAACTTAAAGAAAAACAGCATTTGGAAATAGACACTTCAAGACCTGTAACACACATCGCAAACCCATTTTCATTTTAAAAGGCCCAGAGTTTCACCTGGTGTCTATATGGGTAAAATCCTATAGACAATAAGCTAATGACCATGGGGGTTATTTTAAGGGATTACATCTTTAATCATTTGCATTTGATTTTCGTCAGAGAAGATCATTTAAGATCTTGGCTAAATGCCAGCTAGCATTTTCTAAAGAATTGATGTTCGACAGGAAAATGGATATACTTTGGGTGGGTTGTGGATTTGCTGGAGTTATTCAATTGTGTGTTGGATTATTTGAGATGTTTTTGGTGTGTTCCTTCTGGAAGGCAGGGATCTTTTCTGCAGGGCCTTTCAAGCTCTTGTTTTCCAATTCTCATTCTCCTCTGTATTGATACTCTTATAGATAAAAGTATCATGGCTTTCCAGTTAAAACCTTTGCATTTGGGAAAGCATGGATGGCAGGTCAGTCTGAGACAAGTGAAAAAGATCAATCAAATTTATTTCTTATAAATTACAGTTGTAAATTTATTTTCCTTTTTAATTTAAAAATTTCTATATTACAAAATTGCTCTAGCATTAAAAAACTGCAGAGACAAACTATGGTGGCCATTTATCTTTTGTGACCATCCAGAAGCTTTGAGTTCTTGCTCATATTTTAGAAAGTTCACACATGACATATTGTAAGTTTTTTGGGCAAGAGCCATCAATACTCTAGCGAGTGTGTGTGTATTTATAACTTTTTGGTAACGTTTGAGACTTGTAAACCTGATGATCCCTCACCCCTACATTCTTCAACATGCACTTATGACAAACAAGGACATTCTCTGGCTAAATTACAATGCAATGATCACACCTAAGAAAGCCAACTTTTATGTAGTACTATCACCTAAGAGACAGCACAAATTCATCTTCCCAACTGTCCTAATGATGCCAACGTCTTTTAGAGTTGTTTTCTTTCCTTCTATTTTTTCCAGTACAGAATCCAGTCAAAGATAATACATTGCATTGTTGTCATGAGTCAGAGTTTTTAAACCTAAATATGATTATGGCATTTACTTAAGCCCAGCCAATCAACTTCCCCATTTTCCTCAGCAAGAATTTCCAACACTCGGGGCGCCTGGGTAGCTCAGTAGGTTAAGTGTCTGACTTCAGCTCAGGTCATGATCTCACAGTTCGTGGGTTCAAGCCCTGCATCAGGCTCTGTACTAACAGCTAGCTCAGAGCCTGTCTTCGGATTCTGTGCCTCCATCTCTCTCTGACCCTCCCCTGCTCACGCTGTCTCTCTCTCTCTCAAAAATAAATAAAACATTAAAAAAATTAAAAAAGAATTTCCAACATTCAAGGAGGATGACAAGGTCTATGCAATTTGGCACCTGTCTTCATCTCCAGTCTTTTTTTCATCTACTACCATACATTCTAGTTCTTCCGAAGCCCAATGTTTTATGCATGCTGCTGTCTCTTCCTTACTTTAAGGAAAAAACCTGACAGACAAGTAACAGATTCAGTCCTCATGTCACCCACTTTGCACGAGCATCTCAGTCTTTCTCAAGAAGAGCTTGGAGGTAACTCTTGCTATTCTCCGTCTGTGCATGATTTTTCTGTGGTGGTCATCCTATTTTATATGGTGTATTGCTTCCCCCAACAGCCTAGAGACTACATAAATTTACAAGGCACAAGTCTTGTTCATCTTTATATGTCCTGTGTCTTGCCTCATATGAGGACAAAGTAGTTTCTCAGTAAGTCACTTGTTAATGAACAAATGAGTGGCATGAGCAAAACATTTTGTTCAAATAAATGCCCAATAAGTTTTTGCTGCATTGCAAATGGGGACTTGGGAGCCTAAACATTTAACTGTTTTTGCTAAACTATCATCAAAGATGAAATGTGACCCACATCTAGGGCTGTAATTCTATAACCGAAATATCATTATGAACAAATTTGCTGGACTAAACTGCTATATTTATTTAAAAAGCTGCACATCCAGGGGCACTTGGGTGTCTCAATTGGTTAAATGTATAGCTCTTGATTTCAGCTCAGGTCATGATCTCACGGTTCATGAGATCGAACCCCATATCAGCCTGCTTGGGATTCTCTCTCTCTCTCTCTCTCAAAAAAAATAAACATTAAAAATTAAAAAAATAAAAAGCTGGACATCCAATCAGCTTTTCCTAAAAAAAAAAAAAAAAAGAAAAAATGACCTTCTCAGCAATACTTCTAATAGTACCTGCTCAGAGTTGTAATTCTTAGGCACACAGAAGAAGACAAATAAGTTAACAAATTCTCACCTTTCCAACTAGTGCTGGGATATTCATTGAATTAGTTGCAAATCCCATCCCAAAGACCATAGCTGCTTCTACATTCAGGAACTTAGCCACAAGGTTCTCCAACTCTTTATGTTTATCCAAGCTTCCTGCACATGAAATGATAGGATGAGTGAGTCTTCCCTCCTCAATAAGATCAAAAACTCAAAATCCAGAGCATCACCAAAAGACATGTGTGAGAGTGTACGTAGCAGGTATATTTGCCATAGCCCCAGTCAAAAAACAATCCAAATGTCCACATGCTACAGAATGAATGAATTAAATGCCCTGTGGAGATATTTACAGAGTGGAATTAAACACAGTAATGAAAGGAACAATATTGCCCTACACAACAAAATGAAAAGAATCTCACGAATACATTGTTGCATGAAAGAAGTCTGACACACATTCAGACAGGCTGAATCCATTTATATAATGTTTCCAAACTGGGGCACCTGGGTGGCTCAGTTGGTTAAGTGTTTGGCTTTGGCCTAGGTCATGATCTTGCCGTTCCTGAGGTCAAGCCTTGCATTGGACTCTGTGTTGATAGACTCTGTATTCAGAGCTTGGACCCTGTTTCAGATTCTGGGTCTTCCTCTTTCTCTCTGCCCCTTCCCAACTTGTGCTCTGTCTCTAACTCTTAAAAATAAAGTTTACAAACAGACAAACCTAACAGACAAAACAAAACTAATATTAGAAGTTAGGATAGTGGTTAATTTTGTTGGGAGCATGAGTAGATCTTTGAGATTCTCTAAATGCTGTGTTTCTAGATTTGGGTGTTGGTTACACGGGTATGTTTGCTTTGTGAAAATCTATTGAGGTATATACTTAATGATTGGTGTACTTTTATATATAAGTATAGATAATGCAATAAAATCTACAAAAAAATACCACAATTTTTCTCTTCCCTTTCCTTACATCCTGCAGGTGATTAAATAAATTGTAACCCTTGCAGAGGTGCCCCACACTTAAAGGCAAACAGATCCCATGACACCTATAGATACTAGTAAATCTAGTTACAAATTATTGAACCTTTGGAGTGTGCTAGATTTCAAAGGTTACTCTTTAAGCTCTCTCATTTAATCTTAAAAGCCGAGTAATGCAGGTATTATTACTTTATAGATTAGAAAACCAAGGTGTAAAGAGATCACAGATAAAATCCAACAGAGATAATTCAGCCTAACTCCAAAGTTCATGCTTTTACCATTCTGCTTCTTATACTGAATCCCTCATGCTTTAGTAAGAGTAAATATTAACGATCCTCATATTTTTCTGTTTGCCATCATTTTCACTTCTAGTGTCCAGTATGGTAGTCATGAGCTTCATGTGGTTAGTGCAATAGTGTTTTAAATTGTATTTAATTTTAGTTAACATTATTTAAACTTAAAAACTGAAGCACTGTAAAATAGGTACCACTGAACACAACGTTATTATCCGGTAGGATTATATTCTACTTATTTCACTTTAACCAGTGAAAACTTAGTGTCTGAACTGAAATGTCCTGTAAGAGTAAAATATACACTATATTTTGAATGTTTAGTACAACAAAACAAAAATAATAACAAAAATAATGTAAATGTCTCATAAATATTATATATTGATTACATGTTTAAATGGTAATATTTTGGATATATTGGGTCAAACAAAACCTATAATGAAAATAAGTTTATGTGTTTTTTTAAACTTTTTAAACTTTTTAAAATGTGGCTACTAGAAATTTTATTTTTATTTTATTTATTTTTTAATTTTTAAAAAATAAAAATAATTAATATTTATTTATTTTTGAGAGATAGACACAGAATGTGAGTGGGGGAGGGGGAAAAGAGAGAGAGGGGGACACAGAATCTGAAGCAAGCTCCAGGCTCTGACCTCTCAGCACAGAGCCTGACACCAGGCTTGAACTCATGGACCACAAGATCATGACCTGAGCTGAAGTAGGACACTTAACCGACTAACCCATCCAGGTGCCCCTAGAAATTTTAAATTATATATGTGTTTTGCATTATATTTTTATTGGACAGCGGTGCTGGGGATGCTTCATTGGACAAAACACAAAAATGTACAAGTGGAGATACGTAATTTGCAACCAAGGAACACAGAAACAGATTTAACTCAGCTTTAAGTTAGAAAAATATTCATATTCAGGATTACTTATAAACATGCTTTTTTCAACCTAAAGGTCAACATATTTTACTATACAGTGTGATATCGAATTTTATTTAAATTGGTAAATTACCTTGCTTATTGGTGCCAAAATGATGAAGGGTTAAACTTGAGAAGGCATTAATTAGTGAGTTCAAAGTTTTATTTTGAATTTAATATGAAAGAGAACATTTCATGTACCATCTTTGCCCTTCCTGAGAGGTCACACTGTCATACAACAGATGGCTGGTGGCCTCTCTTCTCAATTCAGAATTCATTTATCCCCCAAAATGTCAGAAACCAAAGGAAAACAAGTATTCCAGCAGAATCAATTTTACTCAAGCTTGGGGGAAGGGAAGCTAAAATTTAAATTATTATTTAAAACTTTATTATCATTTCATGTTCCTTATGACCCAGCAGTAGCACTGCTAGGAATTTACCCAAGGGATACAGGAGAGCTGATGCTTAGGGGCACATGTACCTCACTGTTCATAGCAGCACTCTCAACAATAGCCAAAACATGGAAAGAGCCTAAGTGTCCAT